ATGTATCGGGGAGCACGAGAGAATTCCGTACCTTCGACGACTCACGCGAAGGATGATGTGACGAAACCGTCACTCGAGCAATCGAGAACTCAGTCCAGATACTGCGATTATACTGCTTCAGGCAGAAGTCTGACTAGCGTTGAGGAATTCATATCCTCCACCGTCTGTCCTACGTACGTGGAAGTCATCTCGGCTGAATCCGCCGTCGTCAAGTCATGCAGATACGCGAACACTCACTCCATGGCTTCGGCAACTGCTCGTCAAACGATGCGTTACCGCGAAGACGCAAGGGAGGAGATTCGTAAATATTTCAATTGTACTGCCGAAGACTCCGGTAAGTGCATCGGTCGCAGGCGCCAGGTCACATGTTTGATCATTCAGTCATCTTCTGTGGTGCTGGAGCTACGGCAGCTATCGACAGGTTCATTGGAATCATGTGCCGCAGTCGAATCTTTGCTACTGATGCATCTCCGAAAGGCCTCCGTCGGGCGGTCCGCTCATCTCTAACAAACACATTAGCTTTGATCGTTGCCATTCAGGTTTTGATTGTAGATCCGGCTGCTCATCACAGCTCACTACTCCCCTTCAGAGAGCTGGCTTCGAACTATCCACTCATCCGCCCAGCTTCCACAGGTCAAATCCATGCAAAGGTCATCATGAATCATCCTTTGTTAGCTCTGGTGCCATTTCTTATGTGCTTCAAAGGTAACGAATCCGCAGATTTCGAAGTTGAACTCGAGGTAGGTGCTCACCCATCCTTTGCACCTTAGCCGTCCCCTTTTCTCTCAGACGCTACCTCTATGCCCAGTCAAGGGTACTGCTTCTGTTGAGGGTCTCGAGAAAGCACTGAAGAAGGTGGATTGTTGGCTGAAGTCGACCAAGATGGGACAACGTTCTTCTCAGGTCATGGATTACAATCGTCATCACCATAATTCCGCTATACCAGTGGTCGTCCTTTCTGCTTGTAGCAATATCTGTGGTGCACGTCTCGATGTAGGGCGAGATACATTCTTCTGAGGTGATTTCTCAACAGATACCGACAGTATCAACTCTGATCCATGAATATAACGGTGTTGTCGCATGGGACTTGGCAGCCATTGCAGCTCATGACAAGGTCGGCCCTTATCTGTCGGACTCTGTCCCTAACGAGCTTCCATGGTTATGCTGTTACAGGTCGATATGAACCCTTCTACGCACCCTAACGGTTATATCGATTTCGCATTCGTATCTCCTCATAAGCTGATCGGTGGTCCCGGTAGCAGCGGCCTCTTGTTGTGTAAGAAGAAACGACAGACTAACGCCGTGCCG